TTTGTACCATTCTTCAATTTGCAATTCAGTTTTTAATTTCCATTGCCTAGCAATAATCAATCTAGCTGCTGTTAATAAATTATCAATTCTTTAGTCATTTTGTCGTATTCCACATTCTCATATATTGATGACAAAGCAATCTCGGCATTACATTCTATATCTTTTCCACACATATAGCTTAATTCTTTGAAAATTTGTTTCCAAAATCTTTGCACTTTTTCACATTCCCACCACATATGAAAGTATGTACCAACTTCTTTTTCGCATTTACAACAGACATTCAGATGATTGGCATTAATTTTGTTTAATTTGAACAGTGTTAAATTCCATCTTAAACTGAATTTAAATTTTTTTCCCTTATTCTTACCGACATAAATCTTAAAACCCTCATTTTCCATATCTTCCTCCATTCTTCATTTATTCCTTTTCCAATGTCTTGTTCCCACTACCTCATTTTCTGTTGTTCCTCTGGACATTTTATCATTGTCCTCCCACTACCTTTTCTCATCTTATAGTTGCATAATAAAAACATACAAATGAAACAAGCTAGTGTTTGAGAAAAGACACAGCTGGGTAGCCAGCTGTTGGAACAAAATATCAGAGTTTAAAAGCTTTGGTTCACCTTTTATACACAATTCAGTTGCTAAGCTAGTGGCTCCCTAGCTTGAACTTTTAAAATTAAAACTAAATTATTATACCCTCAGTAGGAATATTAGTACAGAAGGTGACATATTACTTCTGGGTGAAACTCACTTTTCAGCCAGCCTCGCCCCTTGTTTTCTTGGTATTTGAAGCTACGGGGTTAGAATCATGGGCTTCTGAAATGAACTCATTTCCAAATTGGACTTTTCAGTGGATGTCAAAGTTAATAAGGCTTCAAGTTAATAGTAAATGTCAGAGAATATATCTGTAAAGGGTTAAGTGCTATTGTAATACAGTGGACCCTCAACTTACAGACGGCTCGACTTACAGACTTTTCGAGTTACAGACTTCTCTGGCTGCAAAATTTAGATTTGACTTGCAGACGGAGAATAGACTTACAGACCAGAAAAAAGCCAAAATGGAACAAGAATAAAATAAAAACTGCCAGTTATGGGATTAATCGGTTTTCAATGCATTGTAGGTCAATGGAGATTTGACCTACAGACTTTTCGACTTGCAGCCACCGTTCCAATACGGATTAATTCTGTAAGTAGAGGGTCCACTGTACAACATATAAAGATTTCACTGCTCTTCCTGGAAAAGTGTCCTGACACCTAACTTTTACTTGCATATGAGGGATGCTGTGGGTTTTAAGTAACAGCAGACAAAATGTACTATAGTCGATGAAAGTGAAGGGTTCACTAAAGTGTGGACAGTATGGAGGGGAGAGATGCTGTCCAGTGGGGATTTCACTCAACTTGAATTTCCATTAGGACCTTGACAGAGGTGCAGTGTTTCCAAGATACACCAGGTGGCGCTATTGGTAGATAAACTTCCCTGGGATGAATACACCAAACCACTCGTAGTGCTGATAGAAGTATTACTTGTATTATTTACAGGATTTTTACATACATACACAGCTTTAGTCTTGGTCTCACAGTCCTTGGTCATGCACAGCAGTTCAGCAGTTTCAATACATAAATCGCAGTCAAAGTCCTTTTGTAAATAGTCCAGAGTTCGTTTACCAGTCCTGAAGCCACAAGTTCTTCTCCCAATATGCTCAGAGATAGGCTTCTTCCAGGATCTTCTCCCAAACAGCAACTCCGACACAGCATACACCACCAACAACCAACCCAACAACCAACAAAGTGTGTAAGCTAGTTCTCCTAGCTTTATCCTAGGGTTCACCAATCCTGTCCTTCTCTCAGCTGTCTCAATCAGCTCAGCTGTACCACCTCTAGCTACGCATATCTTGTAGCCCTGATCCTGTTAATACTTATAGAATTGCATTCAACAATTCACACAGGTTTGACCTAAATCTGTCAGACCTGATCTGAGGATTTGGTACAGGAAACCGCCTGCTACTGGTATTAGCAAAGCAAAGTGTTCTGCTTATATACTGCCTCATAGCATTTAAAGCACTCTGTGCATGGTTTATGACCTAATTTGCAAGCTATACGTTGCACACACACACACCCCTGGTGAGCTGAGTACTCAATTTACCAATCTTGGAAAGATGGATTGACCCAAATTCAATCCACCAGGTTTGAACTTGGGTCACGAGCAGAGACTTGACTGCAGTACTGCAGTGTAACGACTCCAACCTGAGGCTCCTCTGCTGTCAGAAGGAGTATCAGATATCTTTTTAATTCCCAAGTAAACTTTTATTTTGGCAGGAAGACTGTGTTGGAGGAAAAATGGCTTTTAAAGGTGCCTGGTTGGCTTTGGGGAAGAGGAAACTATATATCTCACTGGACGACAAGATGTGCTTATTGTGACATTTTACTTACACAAGCATTTGTTTTCATTTAGTTTTACTCTAGTTAATTCGTTGAGTATCTTGTTCTAGTATTCTTAGTTTTGTTTGTAGTCTTGTTGTGTATGTACAAGGCCTGGCAGGCAAATGAGCAATAAACTGAAATGAACTATAGGTGTAGTGAAAAAGCTTAGTCTCATTTGGGGCTGTTTCTGCTTTAAGGATTCATTTCATCTATCTTGGATATATAAACCCCAAAAAGCTAAGGAAGTGGAAGCAAAGATGTTCCATGTGATCAGGACTGACATAAAGTTTCCCCTTGACATTTTTAGTCCAGTCGTGTCTGACTCTAGGGCACGGTGCTCATCCCCGTCTCCAAGACATAGAACCAGCGTTTGTCCGAAGACCGTTTCCGTGGTCATGTGGCCAGTGCGACTAGACATGAAACACTGTTACCTTCCCACCGAGGTGGTACCTATTTATCTACTCACATTTACATGCTTTCAAACTGCTAGGTTGGCAGGAGCTGGGACAAGCTCATTCCATCGTGTGGATTCGATTTTACAACTGCTGGTCGTCTGACTTCGCAGCACAGAGGCCTCTGCGGTTTAACCCGCAGATCCACCATGTAGGAATGACATGTAATGAAACAAATCAGGGTAGATTGCAGTGCATTGTCCATGTAGCCACATTTGAGAGCAACTAGTTAATCTCTGTATTATATAGGTCCTTTTTTAAAAAAGCAATATCAAATCCCACTTGTTTGCATTCTCATTACTGATAGTGATACTTTTCTCTCTCCCTTTTAAATACTAGTGCAAAAATTCCTTTTAAAAAAACATTGAGGGGAATTCAATTATCAAGAGGAAAAACTGCCAGTTTAATAGCAGAGTTATGGTTACTATGTCATTGGAAGTGCACAAACGTAGGAAAAAGGAACCTAAGTTTTGTATTTTAAGAGACTGCAAATAATGTGCAGTGTCAGAAGTGCTTATTTCCTAGAATCATAAAATAATTTGAGTTGGAAGGAGCTTATAAGGCCAAGGAGTCCAATCAAACCCCTGCTCAGTGCAGAGTTGCACATCAAAAGATCTCACAGATGTTTGTCCAATTTATTTCTTGATTGCTTCCAGCGCTGGAGCACTAGCCACCTCCCAAGGCAATTGAATTGGTTCCTTTGTCATACTGCTCTAGCAGTTAATATCTGCCAGGCAACCACTCTTTGCCTTGCTCTTACCTGCCAGGCAACCACTCTTTGCCTTGCTCTTTTAGGCTACGATCCTTATGTGAAGGACGGAGTGACTGGGACCAGCAAATACGCCCTATCTCCATGTGGTCCTCCTGTATTGTCTTATGCAGCATCCTGAGCCTGCCTGCATTTCTCAAGGAAGCTGCCTTTGACTAGCGCAGTGCCTGTTTGTTCCTCAGGTCGCTCACTACTTGTGCAAGCAGTTTGCCCTTGTGAATCCCCAGGCTTTGCTGCATGCTGTCAGGTAGTACCTGGAAGGGAAGTGTCTGACTCATAAATTACTCTTAGACATGATCTTCCTTGCCTTGAGGCATTGGCGCGTCACCTACGTGCAGAAAGTGCATTCTGCTCACCCCCCTTCAAAGCTGAGCTGTACATTTTTCCAGAGGCTTGGGATCTATGATCTTCTTGGGCTTTTGCCAAGCACGCTGATGGAAACGCATTTCCAGTTAGGAGCAAGTGCCTCTGCCCGAAGGAAAAAAAAGAAAAACCTAAGGCTTCCCAGTCTTACAGGATTGCTTTGGTCGGGGAAGTAGGAAAGGAGAGAGACCAAGAGGAGGCAGAAAGAGGCTTTCTCTGGCAGATCCTGGCTTGAAACAGCTCCCCTTCCCCGCCGCAATCCATGACCGAGGAAAAAAAAAGACCCCCCAAAAAGCAAAATTCTCCTCCCATCCATGTGCTCGGCGGATCGATTGCGGTGGGCTTGTTGTTCCCTTGCCAGGAACCTGGCCTAGCTTCCGCCCCGTGACCGGAAGCAGGAAGCAAAGTGTCCTCCCAGGGACTTGAAAAATATGCCCTCGCAAGAAGGGAAGACTCTCCTACCCCGTTCCTCCAAGGGAGGCGCTTCCAAAACTCTCGGCCGGATCAGAAGCGGGGCTGCCGGCAAGGGCGAAAGGGGTAGGTGGAGGAGACCCTGGCGGAGGATTCAAGCGGCTGCGAGGGAAGGGAAGGGAGGCCGAGGAGGGGAGAATGGGAGGAGGCGGAGGGTTTATCAGGAGCGTTTGCGGGGGGAGCCTAGGATGCCGATCCTACATAATTTCATTTCTCTTAACTCATCAGCTTTGGTCTAAAGACGCTTAGGATCATCCTGGATGTTCACAGGGACGGGGGTGGGGGGAGCTCAAGAGAGGGACCCCCACTCCCCATCCTAAACTTGGGTCAACAGTCCCTAGGAACTGTGAATAAACTTTGCTCTTCCCCACTTGCAGAATTGTTGCTGCAGGAGCCTTTATTGGGGAGGCAGGTTCTACATATACTGCTTCTGCCCTCTGGGTTTTCCCAGATCGGTGGGTTTAAAATACTTCTTCTTCTTTTTTTTTAACCCCACCTTTCTCCTTGACAAGGGACCCAAGGCGGCTTACAACATCGAAAGACAGTACATACAGTATTTGAAGTTGGGGACGATGAGTATGCAACGGTGGTTAGCATCGTGAAAAGATAGTACTGAAAGCTAAGAACAGTTGAAAGACAATGTTAAAGCTAAGAATAATAAGTATAAATTTAAAAGAAATACAATGTCAATCTGAGAGTTGAAAAGTACAAAATTGTAAAACACAAGTTCTGTAGTACTAAAACTCCAGTCCAAGCAGTAATGCATAACAATCTGTCAAAAAAACACCCACAAACAAACAAACAAAAAACCACAGCTTGCCTGAAGAGAAAGGTCTTTGCCTGCTTGCAAAAGGATAGCAAAGATGTGGGAGGGAGTTCCAGAGTCTGGGAGCAGCCTCAGAGATTACAACAGGGACTTCCCTTGCTTTTCTATTTTTTAAAAAATTCCCCTATATTAAAAGAGGTTGTGCTTGTATTTAACCTGCAAGATTTAGTTAGTAGAGGGGGGGGGGCAAGGCTGGGATGAGTGTCAATGCCAGATCAATACATATCTGCCCATCTTCCAAACACCTTTTAATTCACTTTTTTTTTTGCCCAGCTGCATCCCAAGGGCTAACAATCCTCCATAAAGGATTTTTTTTTTGGCACAAGCAACAGAGCAGACACTGTTCTTCCTCTTCTGTGTTTTTCTCCAATTCCCCTGAAAATCTTTGAGGACAGTTGAGTGTCAGGTTTGGGTCAGGAGCAGGAGAGCTGTGTGGGTTTTCTTTCTCTTTATGTGTTTGTGTAAGAGAAAGAGTGGGGGAATACTGTAGACGTACACACTTGCTTTATTGGCTATGAGAGAGGTTTTGTTTGACACTCCAAGACTTGCCCTATGCATGGACTTTTTTGCGCCACAAATATAAAGCTTGTAGTTTTTGTAAGGCATATATGTCTCTTATCTCCACCCCCAATAGCATCAAATTAATAACTGATTGGCTTTAAATATTCCTTATATCAGTTGTAGACAAGGTATATTGAATGAATTTAAGAGGGCATTGCATCCAGCCTCTCTGAATATTCTAGATTTCCCCTTCAACCCATCGATTTATATTTTGCTTTGTTTGTGTTATACTGTATGAGTGTACCTCCCAGAATAGTGCCATGCACTAATAGGACAGTATATGTAGACATCCTTCAGTCTTGAGAGACTATGGTAAAGGTAAAGGTTCCCCTTGACATTTAGTCCAGTTGTGTCTGACTCTAGGGCACGGTGCTCATCCCTGTCTCCAAGACAGAGCCAGCGTTTGTCCATAGACAGTTTCCGTGGTCACGTGGCCAGCCTGACTAGACACAGAACGCTGTTACGTTCCCACCGTGGTGGTACCTATTTATCTACTTGCATTTACATGCTTTCAAACTGCTAGGTTGGCAGGAGCTGGGACAAGCGACGGGAGCTCACTCCGTCACATGGATTCGATCTTACACTGTAACCAGTCCCTGTCAGCAATTTGGCTGCTGTGTCTTGGGCCTGCTAAAGTTTCCTTACACTTTACATCATCAGCCCCACACAGAGCACATTGCAGTAATCCAAACGGGATGTAACTTAAGGCATGTGGCACAGTGGCCAGATCAAATCTGTCAAGAAATGGTCGTAGCTGGTGCGCTAGTTTTAATTGTGCAAAAGTTGTGACTTAACTTCAGAATTTCAGCCCCTATCTTAGTGAGGAATATCTATATTGAAGTTTTCCGTTGGACTGACATCTAGCTCATTTTAGAGAAACACAAATATTTTCCCTGAAGCAGAATATCTTCTTGTCAATCCTGGCTTGATTTCCTATCTGGAATTAAGACCTCTGATTCCTATATCAATTCATCTTGGGCTGAGTGGAAAATGGAGTTCACCTAATAGCACAACACAGATGATGTAATTAAAATACATTTAAGGTCCAAATTAGAATTGCACGTTTGACCTGAACTCCAATGTGGAGTACCATGCCTGCCTTCAGTCCTAGTGGAGTGTCGTCCCCACCTCCGCTCTCGAGGTGTATTGCCCAATCCAATTCTCCATTGTCTGTTCCTTCTAAACTCTGTTAGAAGGTCAGTTTATCTCTCTGAACCTAATTTTCTTATATTTTCCTCTAGGTCAGGATTCTCCTGAAGTAGCAGTCAAGCTGGGGCCGGATAAGGACTCATGTGACGCTTTCTCGGCGATAAACTCAGGTGATGCAGAAGCTGGTGAAGATCTTCCCTTAGGGCCCAGTTTTTGCAATGTGTCCAGCTTCTAGTCATTTGTTATATGGAATGCAGATATTTCTCCAGCACTTATAGTACAAGTGTTTAGTTGAAGTGGACATTCTTCACCATCACTTTATCATTAACAATGTTGTTTATCATTAACAATGTTGCTAGTACCTTATCAGTGCTAGGATCCTTGTGGCCAAAGTCCTGTTGCTTTCTGTAGTAAATCACGCTACAGTAGGCCCATTGAATCAATGGGAACTTAGTGAGTCATATCCTATGTAAGTGCTTTTGATTCAAATGGACCTCCTAGTTTGAACTAAACCAGAAGCCTGTGGCAACTTTTATTGAGCCTTCTGATAGAAAGATCATAGAATCAGAGAAGTGAAGTTGGAAGGGGCCTACAAGGCCGTCACGTCCAACCTCCTGCTCAGTGCAAGAATATAATCAAAGCTTATCTGCTTTGGTTGAACCAGTTGCATGTGGCAACTAGAGTAGGCCCATTGATTCCAAAGGATTTAGTAAATTGACACATATGTAAATTCTATTGATCTAGTCGGCCTACTTTAGTCTGTTTAATTATTTATTTTATTTTATTTAAAATATTTTTACCCTGTCTTTCTCCTTAAAAAAGGACCCAAGGCAGCTTACAGCATTAAAATACAATATTTAAAGCTAAGAACAATGAGTATAAAAATGCAGCTTACATCATTAAAATACAACATTAAAGCTAAAAACAATGTGTGCAAATATTTTTAAAATATCAACAACCTGAAGAAATGGTAAACACAGGGAAAACTCAACTGAATAGAAAGGTCTTTGCGAGCTTGCAGCGGAATAATAAACAAACAAAAAAGGGCCAGTCTGGCCTCCAGTGGGAGGGAGTTCCAAAGTCTGGGAGCAGCAACAGAGAAGGCTGTCTCCTGTGTCCTTACCAAACACACCTCTGAAGGTGGTGGGACCAAGAGAAAGGCCTTTCCTAATGATCTTAGCAGCCAAACCGGCTTATAATGCAGTCTCTGAGAAATCTCAGGCCATTTTGGGCTTGATAGGTTAAAACCAGCACTTTGAATTGTGCCCCAAAAATGGATCAACAGCTAGTGGAGCTGCTGTAACGGGGGTTATGTGATCACTGTAACCAGTCCCTGTCAGCAATTTGGCTGCTGTGTCTTGGACCTGCTAAAGTTTCCTTACACTTCACATCATCAGCCCCACACAGAATACATTACAGTAATCCAAACGGGATGTAACTGAGGCATGTGTCACAGTGGCCAGATCAAATCTGTCAAGAAATGGTCGTAGCTGGTGCGCTAGTTTTAATTGTGCAGAAGTTGTGACTTAACTTCAGAATTTCAGCCCCTATCTTGGCGAGGAGCATCTATATTGAAGTTTTCCGTTGGACTGACATCTAGCTCATTTTAGAGAAACACAAATATTTTCCCTGAAGCAGAATATCTTCTTGTCAATCCTGGTTTGATTTCCTAGCTGGAATTAAGACCTCTGATTCCTATATCAATTCATCTTGGGGTGAGTGGAAAATGGAGTTTACCTAATAGCACAACAGAGATGATACAATTTAAACACATTTAAGATCCAAATTAGAATTGCACGTTTGACCTGAACTCCAATGTGGAGTACCATGCCTGCCTTCAGTCCTAGTGGAGTGTCGTCCCCACCTCCGCTCTCGAGGTGTATTGCCCAATCCAATTCTCCATTGTCTGTTCCTTCTAAACTCTGTTAGAAGGTCAGTTTATCTCTCTGAACCTAATTTTCTTATATTTTCCTCTAGGTCAGGATTCTCCTGAAGTAGCAGTCAAGCTGGGGCCGGATAAGGACTCATGTGACGCTTTCTCGGCGATAAACTCAGGTGATGCAGAAGCTGGTGAAGATCTTCCCTTAGGGCCCAGTTTTTGCAATGTGTCCAGCTTCTAGTCATTTGTTATATGGAATGCAGATATTTCTCCAGCACTTATAGTACAAGTGTTTAGTTGAAGTGGACATTCTTCACCATCACTTTATCATTAACAATGTTGTTTATCATTAACAATGTTGCTAGTACCTTATCAGTGCTAGGATCCTTGTGGCCAAAGTCCTGTTGCTTTCTGTAGTAAATCACGCTACAGTAGGCCCATTGAATCAATGGGAACTTAGTGAGTCACATCCTATGTAAGTGCTTTTGATTCAAATGGACCTCCTCTAATTGCGACTTACTGTGCTAAAGTAAGTCACAGCTAGAGTAGACCCATTGGAGTCAATGGAATTCTCTGAAGAGTTGACTCACCAAATCCCCATTGATTCAATGGGCTTACTGTGGTGCAGTTTACTACAAAAAGCTACAATATTTTGGCTTCTGTTTTTAAGATTTTTTTAAAAAATTATTGTAATAATTGTATTTATTTATTATTTATAATAAATTGTTATTGTGTCAGTGAAATAACCAGATTAAGCTACACAAATAATATTTATTGATTGAGAAGGAATACAAACCCCTGATTTTTGCATAATTTCTGAGATTACCTGAATCCATGGTTATTGTTTTTCGGAAAAGTATGATGCAGGGGACGTGGTGGCGCTGTGGGCTAAACCGCAGAAGCCTGTGCTGCAGGGTCAGAAGACCAAGCAGTCGTAAGATCGAATCCACGCGACGGAGTGAGCTCCCGTCGCCTGTCCCAGCTCCCGCCAACCTAGCGGTTCGACAGCATGCAAATGCGAGTAGATAAATAGGTACCATCTCGGTGGGAAGGTAAACAGCGTTCCGTGTCTAAATCACACTGGCCATGTGACCACGGAAAGATTGTCTTCGGACAAACGCTGGCTCTATGGCTTGAAGAGCGGGATGAGCGCCGCCCCCTAGAGTCGGACACGACTGGACAAAAATTGTCAAGGGGAACCTTTACCTTTACCTTTTATGATCCAATCACACTGAAGTAGGTACATTTCTCAGAATGTCCTGAAGTCTCAAAAATTGTTCTGAGGACGTACAAAACTCAGAGATATGCATGGTTCCTACATTATAAGATTTCCAGAATGGCAAAAGAGACTGCAGCTTTGCAAAACATAGGATGACATCTTCAATGGAAATTTTGTTAGATTTGCTCAAATGAGCCAGTCAGTAACTTTTAGACACAAATAAAGTATGTACTTTGTACTCATAGGTATGGCAGATGTTGCTTAAAGGTGTGATAGCCACCACTTTAAATGGCTTTGTAAAGGAATAAATAAATAATTGAAAATGGATTCATTGCCTGTTAAGCAAATGGTTCCTCCATGTTCAGTAGCAGTATATCTCTGAATGCCATTTGCTAGGCAAGGGGACCAACCACAGCTAAGAAAGATTCTTTTATTTTCATAAAACCTCTCAGATGCTCCCTTTCACAGGCTGCTACCTATACTATTTGCAGACAGATGTCTTTGCCAGCTCATGGCATAAGGGACTTACAGAAAAACTACATCTCTCAAGCTTCTCTATGGACTTCTTATCTTACTTCTTCAGGGTAGCATTAAGCCGATATTTATTCAATGTATCAAAGATGTAGACCTTTTCTAGCTTGTGCAGACAGAACTTGCTCACCACTGTGTTTTGACCTAAATTTTAACTTCCCCGAGCCAGCTCATTACCTATAGCAAATTACAGCACCAAGATATCGCTTTGCCTTTTCAAGGGCCAGATTTAACTGCTTTCCCTCGGCCCTTTTAAAAGGGGATTTTAATAACACCCCATACGGTGAAAGGATCTGTCCCTGCGGGAAAGAAATGATTGAGACCTTTGGCGCAGATCATTTTAGAACGTAGCCTATATATGATCGAACGTATTCAATATCTTGGTTCAGTCATGAGTAAATGTTACTGATCTACCTCCCACAGGCTATCTGAAGTTTCTGTTGTCCGGAGAGAATCCAATAATAACATAGTTAGTGGCTAAGATTTTACTTTCAGCTATAAGAACTCGCAAAACGCTATAGCAAGATTTTATACTATACTCTGTATCTATTTTATGTATTTTATCTTTGTGTAATCAGGTCTATGACTGCATAATAAAACTTTACACAGACCGCTTCCTGTGGGGGACCCGACACCAAACTACATGGCCGTCTGCTCTGACTCAAGAGAGTTCCTACATTTTACAGCTATTTCTCAGTTAGACAATACAGTGGTGCCTCACTTTACGACGTTCATTCGTTCCAGCGAAATCACTGTAGAGCGAAAACATCGTAAAGCGAAATAAAAAAGCCCATTGAAATGCATTGAAACCCGTTCAATGTGTTCCAGTGGGCTGAAAACTCACCGTACAGCGAAGATCCTCCATAGGGGTGGCTATTTTTGCTGCCTGTGCAGTGAGGAATCCATCCCTAAGCACAGCGGGGGGCCATTTTGAAACCCGACGATCAGCTGTTTTTGATCATCGTAAAGCGAAAATTGGTTCCCGAAGCAGGGAACCGATCATCGCAAAGTGGAAAAACCCCATTCAACCCATCATTTTGCGATCACAATTGCGATCACAAAAATATCGTCTTGAAGCTGATTCGTTATTATACAGGGTAATCATAAAGCAGGGCACGACTATACAAAGATAAACCCGTGAGACATTTAGGCTATCTGCTCTGACTCATGTAGAGTTCCTACATTTTATGGCTATTTCTCAGTTAGACAACACAAAGATAAACCCGTGAGACATTTAGGCTAACCCCCACCCAACTTTGTCTCCTGTTAAGACAGAGGAATGGTGCTCTTCTGAAACATCCACTCATTTTCCTCATCTTCTTCCCTTCTCAGAATGCAGAACAGTGTTGGTGTCTCAATCCAGAAGGAGGAAAAGCAAAAGGGAGAAAAGGAGTGCCACAAAAATCTCTCAGGTAGGAGATTCTTTCCTGCTGCTGCTGTCGGGGATTTAAAAATGCTAAACAGAAAAGAGAGAGAGAGAGTTTATGGATTTTGCTGCGCATGGAGGTACCTCCACCCAGAACGTCTGCAAATATTCAAGGCCTCGCAGAGACCTGTCTGATGTCCAAATTCAGGTGGAGAAAAGAGTCACTATCAAAAATCTCCCCCTCTGGGAGAATCCGTGGGTGAAATACGGTGAAAGAGACCCTTGCAGTTAATTTGGTATCCAACCGATAGCTCTGTGACTAAAACTTTGAGGAACCCTTGACTTTGGAATCTCTGGAAAAACCTATGCTGAACTTCGCATTTCTCCACAGCACAACCCCTATGTTTTGCACTGCACCCATAACACCAGTCCGGGTTCCCAGTTAACCCCTTCCCCCCCAAGTTGCAGACTGTTCTTTTCACTCAAAAAACATAGGTTGAACTGTCGGGGCGTTCCACCATTGACTTGTTTTCCCTTCTTGATTCTAACCTGATTAGGCTCCGTCAGGGTTGTTACCGGTCTTCCTTTCATGTCTGCCCTAGTGTGAGATCTTTTCACTGTTCTAGGAAGCAGTGGCCTTTGAGGATGTGGCTGTCTATTTCACAGCGGAGGAGTGGGACCTGCTGGGTCCGAACCAAAAGTCACTGTACAGTGAGGTGATGATGGAAAACTACGAGAATGTGTCCTATCTCGGTAAGGAATTTGCTTTGGTCCAAATCCCTTCTCCTTCCTATTGCTGCTTGCTTTTAGGGTTATTGGTACCTGACAAGTCTACTGGCGCAGAGTTTTGCCTCTGGTGACTCCCTTTTGTGCATTTAAAAAGGATCAAAAGGCGCCGTTGCTGTGACCTGAAACTATGCAGGTGGTGAAGCAGGGCAGCTGGCCTCCTTCTCAAGCTCCTTCACTAAAACACCCACACAGGACACCCCTATTGACTCTCACTGTTCGTTCACTCCTGCATACGAGTTTTCAGAAGTGAATGAACCTTGTGGCACAGTGGCTGAACGGCAGTACCACCCGAGATTGATCCCAACAGGCTCCGGTAGCCAACTCAAGGTCAACTCAACGGTCCATCCTTCCCAGGTTGGTCAACTGAGTACCCAGGAAAGGCAATGTGTAGCCTGTTCCAATTAAATTATAAACTACCTAGTGAGTGCTTTAAATGCCACAGGACACTATATAAGCAGCATGCTTTGTTTTTTTTTGCTTTGCCAGGACTCTGAGTATAGCTGTAGGGTCTGGCAATTGCTAGTTCTCCCTCAATCAAGTCTGTGACTCACTTCCTTTCGGTACTCACTCACTTCCTCCCAGCTGTAGATTCCCCACCGCCTGGTACTTTCTTTGTGAATATATTTTCAAAGATTCCTTCTGCTGTTTAAAAGAAAGAATCTCACAGTCAAACCTCCTCGATTTACGAACTTATTCCGTTCTGGAAGTCAGTTCGTAAATCGGAAAGTTCGTAAATCGAGCCAGCATTTCCCATAGGAATGAATTGAAAACCAATCAATCCATTCCAGCCGTCTCTAACAACTACTTTTTATTGACATCCGTTCACCCAATGCTGCCACGGCTGCTGAGTCCCCTTCGCGCCAGGCCAGGGACTGAGAGCCTGGTGCGAAGAGGACTCCGCATCAGGTGAAAGGAGGGAGCCGATTTCTCCCTGGTCGCCCAGCTTGCTTCTTGTTTGGAGAAGCAAGCCGGGTGGCCAGGGAGAAATCGGCTCCCTCCTTTCACTCAATGCTCCCGCAGCTGCTGAGTCCCCTTCGTGCTGGGCTGAGCTCAGTCCCTGGCGAATGAGACTCAGCAGTTGTGGCAGCATCAGGTGAAAAGCCTTGCTTTCCCAGCACCGTGGGAGGACTGGCAGGGGCCCCCCGCAACCGCGATCGCTGGCTTTGGAGGTCCCCTGCAAATCCTCCTATGATGCTGGGGAAGCCTCCGAATGAAGAAAGGGAGGGGGAAAGGGTGGGAAGCCTGGGAGGCTGGGATTTGAATTTCCCACCCTTTTTCCCTGCCCTTTTTTCCGTTCGTAACCCGAAGCTGGGTTCGCAAATCGAAAAAATATTTTCCCATGAGAGTGGTTCGTAACTTGAAAAGTACGTATCTAGGGCCGTTCGTAACTCGAGGGTTGACTGTATGGCTAGCTGATGGGGCTTTAACTGCTATATCCCATTGCAGTGATTTTTAATGGTCCTGCAAAAATGCACATAAAAGCACTATGCAGCTCTATTGATTACTCCTCTCCTTTCCCCAATTTAATTTCCACTTTAATAATCTGATTCCATTTCCGAAACAGAGGAAGAGCAGGGGACATGGGTGCTACAGTCTCAGGACTTAGAAGGACTGGAAGTCAAAGATATCAGAGTAGGCAGTTATTGACTAAGTTCTCTTAACATAGTAACCCACCCAACCCCACCAAAGCTAGATGTGTTATCCCAGTTAAACTTTGTCACTAAGTATATGCATTCATTTTTACTTGGACTCCAAATCCAGGAAAGGAGAATTCTGGGATTTGGAGTCCAAACAAATGCACCCACTTACTAACCTAGTCATTCCAAAGTTTGAAAGCATGTTTTAGAAACAGATTGGTAAATGTTGGGTTGTCTAGAGCTATACTGGCTCCTCCTGTATCTATCAGTCACTATCTCTCAGCTCCCCCAATCAAAAAATTTCCTGCCACAGTGGTGATAAACAGAAATATTAATTCATTAATTCATGGATGCATGCATGCCTGCCTTGCCCTTCCAAAAGAGCCATGTGTACTCTGTATGCCTTGTTTACAAATGGAATTGCACTTCCAGGACTGTGGTTCTGCTTGTGAACAAGGTGTGCAGGAAGGGTTACAGTAGCCTGTTGTGTTTTCTTCTCTATTAGGCATGGGGTTCAAATTTGTCTATGATTATCATTTTTCCCAGCAGATAACTGGAAGAAAACAATAGCATTTGCCCACTCTCAGAAAGATTTTATACACAAATTGCATCAACGAACCCACAAAGAAGATGAACATCATACAAGAGCAGAGCCCTGTGAAAGCACCCTATTTGGAAAATGTTTTGCCCCGAAGAAGCTTATTAATTTGAAGAAGGATTGTAACCTTGAATTATCTCAGGAAAGGTTATCTAGCAATTTGCAGCTAGTTAGCCACCAGAGATTGAACAAGAGAGACAAGCCATTCAGATGTAAGAAGTGTGGAAAATCCTTTCCTTGGAAAAACAGCCTTATAGTCCACCGGAGAATCCACGTAAAAGAGAAACCATACAAATGTAATGAGTGTGGAAGATGTTTTGCTCAGAATTTACATCTTGAGATGCACTACAAAGCCCACACCAGAGGGAAATCATACAAATGCCAGGCATGTGGGAAATGTTTTGCTCGCAGTTCACAGTTTGTGGCCCACCAAAGAGTCCATACAGGAGAGAAACCCTACAAATGTCAAGAGTGTGGAAAATGTTTTGCTCAGCTTTCACACATCTCAAAGCATAGAAGAATCCACTCAAGAAAGATGCCATACATATGCTGGAAATGTGGGGAAACCTTTACTCACAATTCACAGCTTGTGAAGCATGAACGGCTCCATTTGGAGGGAAAACCACACAAGTGCCAGGAGTGTGGGAAATGTTTTTGGAGCACAGCAGAAGTTTCATTGCATCAGAGGGTTCACACAGGAGAGAAACCATACAAATGCCCAGATTGTGAAAAAAGTTTTTCTCACAGTTCACAGCTTGTGAGGCATAATAGAGTCCACACAGGAGAAAAACCATACAAGTGCCAGATCTGTGGGAAATGTTTTGCTTACAATTCACACCTTGTGATGCATCAGTCAGTCCACACAGGGGAGAAACCATATAAATGCCAGGAGTGTGGGAAATGCTTTGCTCAGAATTCACATCTGGTGATGCATCAATCTGTCCACACAGGATTAAAACCATACAAATGCCAGGATTGTGAGAAATGTTTTACACAGAGTTCACAACTTGTGCGGCACCAGTTAGTCCACACAGGAGAGAGACCTTACAGATGTGAGGAATGTGGGAAGTGTTTTGCTCAGAGTTCACTGCTTGTGAGGCATAATAGGGTCCACACAGGAGAGAAACCGTACAAATGCCAAGAGTGTAAGAAATGTTTCGCTCAGAAGTCATATCTTGCGATTCATAAGTCAGTTCACACAGGAGAAAAACCATTCAGATGCCCAAAGTGCGGGAAATCTTTTGCTCAGAATGCATACCTTGTGATGCATCAATTAGTCCACACAGGAGAGAAACCATACAAATGCGAAGAGTGTGGAAAATGTTTTGCTCAGAGTTCACATCTTGTGAGGCATAAGAGAGTGCACACAGGGGAGAAACCATACAAATGTCAGGTTTGTGGGAAATGCTTTGCAAATAATTCAAATGTTATGATTCACCAGAGAGTTCACACAGGAGAGAAACCATACCAATGTCAGGTGTGTGGAAAATGTTACTCTCGCAATGAAGACTGTCTGATTCACCAGAGGACCCACACGTGAGAAATTATAAACATTTCTAGGAAACAAAGTTGCTAGTGAATAGTTTTCTTGGAGAACTAAGCTCTTGTTCCACCAGAGTGCCCACATGGAGAGAAACTGTGGAAGTCCCTGTAAATGTAGAAAATGTTATGATGTTCTGAGTCAATGGGGAACCTTATCATCATTTTAATCGTAAATTCCCTTTTACTAAACCTGGGGTGAACCACACAACAGGGAAGTAGTGGTGGCAAAGTTTACTTCCACATTTTGGAGGGGCAGCCCCCGTGCTCCATGTATAAGTGCCTGTGAATAACCTGTCTGAACTTATGTCTCCCAAGAGTGCTTTTCCCCCCAGATCAATATTTAAGCAACATTTTCATGTTCACGGTGAGAAGCATTAAATGTAGGATATATTCCCCACTGCTTCTATAGATCACAAAGGAGAGTGTAGTCCTATAAATGTGTAATTAGCAAAGTGGGCAGTAATCACCACTCAGGTCAGATTAACAAATGTTCCACTTGGGTGGGAAACCTCATCAGTGCACAGAGTTGCCTTCTTAATCAGCTGCATTTTAAAAAAAACACAAGAGAATACTATGGAAATAAATGTATTGTGTCTAGGAAATGTTTTTGCTGCAGTTTGAGATGTGAAGGTCCTTTTAAAAGCAGCAGTCCCCAACCTTTTTGGGACCACGGACCGGTTGGGGTGTGTGAATTCCGAGCATGGGAGCGGGGGCACCCCTGCGCTCACGTGTGCGTGTGTTGTGCTTGCGTACATGCCCACCCGCAAGCACGACATGCCCACCATGCGTGTGGGGGGGGCCCGGAAATCCATCTCCATGGCCCAGTTCCGGGAAGGCCATGGTGCGGCACCAGGCCACGGACTGGGGGTTGGAGACCCCTGTTTTAAAGGACAGATGTTTGATTTATCTATTGAAAATAAACTGGAAATGTTGGGAACATGGGATAAAACTCCTATCTTTTCTATTTTAAAATGAGTGAAATGTCTTTTAAGGTTAGGTAAAGGTTCCCCTTGACAATTAGTCCAGTCATGTCCAACTCTAGGGCCCAGTCCTCATCCCATTTCCAAGCCGTAGAGCCAGTGTTTGTCCGAAGACCATCTTCCGTGGTCACGTGGCCAGCGCGACACGGAATGCCGTTACCTTCCTACCGAGATGGTATCTATTTATTCGCATTTGCATGCTTTCGAACTGCTAGGTTGGCAGGAGCTGGGAGAAGCGACGAGAGCTCACTCCGTCGCGTGGATTTGATCTTATGGCTGCAGGTCTTCTGACCTTGCAGCACAGAGGCTTCTGCAGTTTAACTCGCAGCGCCACCATGTCCCTTTTAAGGTTAGTATTTATCAATTCACAATACCAGGTTGTACTGCATGAAAATTTGTTATATAAGGACAGTCTGTAGGGAATTAGAGAAAAGTAACTGTGAGGGACTGGAAATGAAGACAAAAACATGACTACAAAAAGAAAAGTGTGTTGCTTATATATTGCAACATAAAGCACTCTATGGGTGGTTTACATTTTAATTATGCAGGCTACACTCTGTCCTTCTCCTGCAAGCTGGGTATGTAGTTTACCAACCTTGGAAGGATAGAAGGTTGAATCAAGCCGACTACCTGAACTCAGGATTGAACTCCGATCATGAGTAGAGTCTTCACTACAGTACTGCAGTTCAACCTGGTGTCATGAGGCTCTGATGAAGAGTTACATCACTTTGATGATAATGAAGACATGGAAATAAAGATTTTCTATATCTGGGTTCAGTTATCTATCCAAATGGAGAGACTGCAGCCAAGAAAGCAGAAGACAGGCTTGGAAGGGCAGCAATGAAGGAGCAAGAAAAGATCTTGAAGAGTAAGGACATTATAACTTGATGTCAGAGCCAGGATCATACTGTGGCATTCCTGAATGCTATGTATGAATGGAAAAGCTGGCCAGAAAGCTGAGAGAGAGAGAAACGGGAATAACTTTATAAATACTATGAACCACCATAAATAAAAGTAAGTGGGTGATAGATTGAATAAAGTCTGCTCTCTCTCTCTAGAAGGAAAAATGAATAAACAGGCTGGCATATTATGAAGAAACAAGCTTCAGTGGAGGAGACAATGCTGAGAAAAGTTAAAGGCAACAGGAAAAGAGGAACACTGAATATGAGATGAATTGACTTGATGACATAAGACGCAGTCTTGAGTTTGCAAGACCTGAGCAGGGTTGTTAATGCTAGGAACTTTTGTAGGGTCACCAATTCATAGAATTGCCATAAACTAATGCTAGGAACTTTTAGAGGTCACCAATTCATAGAATTGCCATAAACTGGAAGTAATTTGATGGCATATATAACAATGAAAACAGTTTGCATGCATATTGTAGACCTAGAACTGCTGGGTAGCTCAGTGGTTTGGGCAGCTGGTTGGGAGTTCGATTCGCTGCTGTGCTTCCTTGAGAAGGGCTGGACTTGATCCATAGGGCCCCTTCCAGCTCAGTTCTGAGATTATAAGCAGCACTCAAAACACAAGATGCATGTCTACACCTAGTGAATGCTACCTTTTCTTTGGAGGGACCATACAGGGACTGTTTGTTACTTGCTGATAGCTATATGTCTTCTGTCAATGAGAATCACAGTAGGAGTAAGACAGGGTCTGCCCAAATAAAACATATTCATGTATTTATTACACAAATTACGGTTTCTTGTCTCATTTCCCCCTAATTCCCAGATGGTAAAAATTAAGTTATAGGTATGTGGGTGACAGAGTGAAGCATTTTGCATCTATTTAATATAGCAGATATCCACAATTTTGTTTGCATAAAACATAGACATTTTTAATTTTAAATTTCATAATGATGCAAACAGTACAAGTTTATATGCTAAGTTATGAAAGAAGCATTTTATGTAGCTAAAGCGGTAAAATAAGTTCAGGATTTATATGAAATATTTCTCCCCCCCCGCCTTTTTCAAAGTTTCTGGAAATTTTGCATCTTATTGATTTATTTAAAATATTTTTATCGCACCTTCATAATGGGAGACACAGTCCTTGAGATAGCTTGGACCCAAACTTAAAAAGGGCTTTATAGGTTAGGTGAACCAACAATTTGAATTCTGCCTGGAAACAAATCAGTCACCAGAACAGCTGTTGGGAGTCATACCAGTACTGTATGTCACAATATGCTACAAGAGTGAAAAATCATAAAACATAATTAATGGACCTATTCTAGCTAATCAACATTTTGTATCCTTGCTTTTAGTACTGCAGTGCAGGAAGGATTCATCTAGTGTTGCTCAGCTGATGATTTGAACTGAAATATGAGATTCATTTTTCCTGACACATTGGGACTAATGAAACCGGGAATTCCAAGTTAGGTCTATCTGGTGGTGGTGGTGGGGAATCTTTTAGCATTGTGGTTATTACAAAATACAAATGAAAGAATAAGCAATACCTTAGTTTATAGCAGTGGTTCTTAACCTTGGGTTACCCAGGTGTTTTTGGACTGCAACTCCCAGAAGCCTTCACCACCAGCTGTGCTGGCTGGGGTTTCTGGGAGTTGCAGTTCAAAAGCACCTGGGTAACCCAAAGTTAAGAACCACTGGTTTACAGGATACTAATTTTTAAAAAACTCATACAATATGCAAGCTTTCGCGGTTAAATTCCACTTCCTAAAAACAACTACCCAAAGCGGTTGCTCTTGGAAAGTTTTTGGCAAAATCAATTTATCTTGAATTTATCTCTTGCAACCATGGAAGTAGCTGCATATAGGACTGAATAGCTGTTTCGGGCGACTTGACTGCGATCAGCTTCATTTGAGCAAGAAAGCTGGAGCTTTGTTTATTTAATTTACTGGACGATTTGATCCACACAGTATAACCACCAGCCTAAGCCCCAAGGGCAGCCTCAAGCAAGTTCCTCCAAAGGGTTAAGACGATCGCGTCTTCATACCTAGAGAGTCCCCTAAGAAGGAAAGGGTTCCACTTCCTGTTTCCGCCTTGCAGGTGCGCTATCTTTTTCTTTCCCCCCAGAGTCCCTAGCAGGAGTATTGCAGGTCCCTCTTCGGGGTGGGAAGGGGTGATTTCTGCCTGGGCTCCCAGAGTCCCTTATTAGGAGTACTGCAGGTCCCTCTTCGTGGTGGGAAGGGGTGATTTCTGCCTGGGAGGCTGAGCCGAGCTTTCGTTTTGGGGGCAGGTTGGGTGGAGGGGGGGCCGGCGAGTGGGGCGCTCCTGGAAGAGCCCAGAGTCTTTTCTTCCCCAAGAGTTGGCCAGTTGAGCCCCCCCCCCCCAAACCCACCTCCGGGAGCTCCTTACCTTTCAGGCTGCAAAGCCAAGCATTCTCCACGAATTCACCTCCCCCCCCCTTTGCATTGAGATCCTTTTAAACCAGCTTCCCAGTGATCGGTATCTGTACTGGGTTGGGATTTGGACTGGCAGGAGGCGCCTGCAGACTGGGAAGGCGGTGGGCTAAGGAGAGTCGCCTGCCTCCCTTCGCTGTCTGGGGGAGAAGGTGGGTCTCCTTTTCGTCATACTGTACAGGACCCAAAGCAAAAGGTTTATGCCCATCCCTCTGTAAAAGGAGAAGATCTGTTGTCCCTCTGGAGGTGTTCCAAAAAAAAGGTACCAGGTTTGACCAGTTGGTAGGTGAAACTTCTTATCAATTAAGGTTCTTTACCTGATGTTGGGAAAGTGTGAAGGCAAGTTCACTTTACCTGAAGTTGGGAAAGTGTGAGGGCAAGAGGAGAAGGGGACGCCAGAGGATGAAATGGTTGGACAGTGTCATCAAGGCTACCAACATGAATTTGACCCAACTCCAGGAGGCAGTGGAAGACAGACAGGAGGGCCTGCCGTGCTCTGGTCCCATGGAGTCACAAAGAGGCAGACACGTCTTAATGACTAAACAACAACAAAGGAGGACGGATGGGCCTGGGCAAATCAATGTAGGATTCCTCATGCAACTCCCTTTGCCAGGTCCTCAGGCTGAATCCTCAAGGAACGGCTTCGCTGAGTCTCCAGGCAGGCAGAAAAATCTTCAGCACAAAAAAATGTTTAGCATGGAAGGAACAAAAAATGTGGTTTTTGCCCCGTGTGGTGTGGGTTTAAAGCTTGGGTGTCCAGCCTTTCCCAGCTCACCCAGGCATATGTGTATGCATGTGTGTTATGCTATGTAGGTGCACCAAAATGGAATAAGAGGAAGTGGGACCCTGTGTGTCTATGCACTTGGGCGCTTTGTGACACTGGAGCAAGGCAAGCATCATAGCTTGTGAGAACTTCTGATGTCCAGGCCCTGGTGGCACGAGTTCAAGGCTTGGGAAAAGCTGCCTAAGGGGGTGGGAAAGAGCTCTGTATGTGTCACAACAGCTGGGATGGCGGACATATGCCATGTGCGTCATGTACGGCTTTTAGTCAAAACAGTGAGAACTGCTCAATTTGAACTTCAAATCTGAGTTTAACGCATTTCTTGCCATGGTTATGCAGTTTGGGCAGGGCGTTTTCTGATGGAAATCATAAGACTGTGCCAGCTGGTGGGGATAACAAGGACATGTTTTTTCCCTCTTCCAAGGAAGTCTTGTAATGCTATCACACATCAAGGGCAGAGAATCTTGGGTGCTGTGGATGAAAAATCCCTTGGCCTTCTCTGTTCAACATAGACTTAATCTGAACCACCATCTGTGAAGCAGTTTCTGTTTATCAGGTATGGGTTAAGGAGAAAGTAATGAATGGTGGTAAGGGTTGAGGGAGGGACAACGTGTGAAGCAGGGATGCAGGCTCCAGAGAAGGCAGGGAGGATATGTAGAATAGTGAAGAGATGATGATGATGATGGGACCTTCCCACATCATGAGCTTTCCTCAAGCATTGTTCTCAAGTTGGTATTCCTGGTGGAAAGTTTCCTATTGAGCCAGACAATGGATGCCAAGTAGGAGAAGTACAGTGGTGCCTCGCTTAACGAGCGCACCGCTTAACGACGAATTCGCATAGCAACGCATTTTTTGCTATTGCTAATGCGATCGCATTGCAATGTTTTAATAGGGAAAACATCGCATTGCGATGATCGGTAAGCGTTTCGCTTACCGATCTTCGTATTGCGATGTTTTTAAACAGCTGGTTGGCGGTTCCAAAATGGCCGCCACATCTGCAAAATGGCCGCCCGCAGCGTTTTTGCACCCTGCCCTCGCTTACCAGGCAGCGAAAATGGCGGCCAGATCGAGGATTCCCTGCATAGCAGTGAGTTTTCGCCCCAATAGGAACGCATTAAACCCGTTTTAATGCGTTCCTATGGGGTTCCCCCCCCGCATTGTGACAAATCCACATAGTGACGTTAATCCTGGAACGGATTAACGTCACTATGCGGGGCACCACTGTAGATACAGATCGGGTCATCTTCAAGGGTGAGAAGGTCCTCATCACTGTGTATGGAAACTGGGCAAGCATGTTCCCTCTTCTTTGCAAATCTGGCATCTTTTCTTGTATTTGGAAATCTGCTACATTGAGAAGGCTGCTGAAGACTGAGCATTTCAAGGAAGCGATCGGAGACATCCTTCCCTGAAGGGACTGTGGGAGTTGGTTTTATTTTGCCCTACCACCACCACCATCAGTTGTTCTGGGTATTTTTAGGTCTCTTATTATTTACTTTTTATTGTATCTGTTTATGTTGTTATCAGGTTGTTGGGGATTGGGTGTGGATGTATTGTTTATGTTTGTTGTTAACTGCCCTGAGTAGTGCCCCTGCACTAGGCTGAGTAACATACAACTGTAATACAGTGGTGCCTCGCTTAACCAACATACAACTGTAATATGTACATACATACATCTAGTATTGTTAATTCATTTTTCCAGTCCTGTGCCACATGTCCAAATTTTGTTTTGGGTGCAGAAGACCTCTGAAGTTGTTCATCCTGTCCTCTGGCAGGACACACAAGAGAAAGATTTGCATTACCAGGTAAGGAACTGATCAGCATATTTCTATTGGTTTCTATCTCACACATCTTCTCCAGGTTGATGAAGCATTCAGTTTGCATCCACATAGATGTTTAACCTGTTGATAGTGAAAACGAGAGACTGCTTTTTCAAAAAAAGGAAGGAATAAAAAGTATATGAAGAATAAACACTTTTCCATCCTCGTGATCTCTCTCTTGCAGATACTGAAAATAGGCTTGGAACACATCCTTGCTTGTCTCTTCTCTATGAAGGAATGGAAACAGGATCTTTGGAGCCAGAACAGGTAAGGGAGAATGAATTGGGAGCAGAGGAACCTAGGTCTTCTCTCCGTTGTACACTACCTGGGTCCAAACAAACTTGTTCTCATCCATTTGTTACTGTCAAAGCTGCTCATCAGAATGGCTATGACAAGCAAAGGGTTGAATTCTGCTCTGTTGATGTTATTCTTTCTGGACTGTACAGTAGGACCCCCGTATCTGTAGGATCAGTATCTGCAGTTTCACTTATCCAGGATTTGAAAATATTAAACATTGAGAGACTGATTTTTCCAAAAAAGGGAAGGAATAAAAAGTATACTGTATAAGGAATAAACACTTTTCCATCCTTGTGATCTCTCTCTTGCAGATATTGGAAATAGGCTTGGAACACATCCTTGCTTGTCTCTTCTCTATGAAGGAATGGAAACAGGATCTTTGGAGCCAGAACAGGTAAGGGAGAATGAATTGGGAGCAGAGGAACCTAGGTCTTCTCTCCGTTGTACACTACCTGGGTCCAAACAAACTTGTTCTCATCCATTTGCTATTGTCAAAGCTACTCATCAGAATGGCTATGATAAGCAAAGGGTTGAATTCTGCTCTGTTGATGTTATTCTTTCTGGACTGTACAGTAGGACCCCCGTATCTGTAGGATCAGTATCTGCAGTTTCACTTATCTAGGATTTGAAAATATTAAACATATTAAAAGAAAAAAATCCAAATGAAAATAGTTTCACATGTATTATCAGAACGAGCCATTAGAGGGAATCAGACCATGCTATAAATACTTCTTAGTGAAGAATGCATAAAACGGCCTTTGGCGCTTTCTAGTGGTCAGTTCTAGTAATGGATGTGAAAATACACTACAGTGGTGCCTCGCATTACGCTGTTAATTCGTTCCAGTGAAATCGCAGTAGAACAAAAACATTGTAATGCGAAAATAAAAAGCCCATAGAAACGCATTAAAACCCGATTAATGCATTCCTATGGGCTTGAAACTAACCGTCCAGCGAAGATCCTCCATAGCGCGGCCATTTTCGCTGCCCGTGCAGCGAGGAATCCATCCCAGAAAACAGCGGGCGGCCATTTTTTTTACCCGGTGGCCATTTTGAAACTGCCGATTAGCTGTAGGAAAATCGTTGTTTTGCAAGAATCGGTTCATGAAGCAGGGAACTGATCATCGCAAAGCAAAATTCCCCCATATAAAATATCATTTTGCGATCGCTTTTGCGATCACAAAAACTTCATCGTTATGCGATTTCATCGTAAAACAGAGCACTAATCTTGCGAGGCACCACTGTAATTTCCTTGTTTTTTCCCTCCTTTTACCACCATATACAGTTCTCTCTCTCTCGAGTTAAGGAGAGTTTGCTATTATCCCCAGTTTTCAGTACCTGCTGGAGTCTTGGAACCAATCCCAGCAGATATGGGGGTCCGACTGTACTTTTAAAAAGAACTACACTTATGATACCTATGAGAATAAACATTTCCCTTATATTTCAGGATGCTGTAGTTTTTGAGGACATCGCTGTGTATTTCTCTGAGGACGAATGGGCACTCTTGGATCCAGGCCAAAGGGTTCTGCACAGGGAAGTCATGGAGGAAAATGTTTCATGTGTGGTTTCTCTGGGTAAGCTTTCTTTTACATTCCATTGTGGCAGTTTTAAGAGAATCAGCCACATCAGTCTCTTTCAACTAGAATAAAACCTTCAGAACACATCCAAAGAGCCCGAAAAACCCACAACAACCATCAGTTACTCTTATTGTTTCTCATGTTCCATGCATTCAAAGGCTTTGCTTTAATTATAAACACAAAGTGATTTTCTGAAATTTAGTTTATTCCAGCAGCTAGCATATATATATATATTTGCATTGTGATCTCTAGTGCCTTTTCCTTTTCAGAACCCAACTTGAACATTGAGCATTTTTGCTGCATATAGGACAAAAGTCTTTGTTACAAAACTGAACATTATTTTGCTGTTCAGTTAAATGCAGTGGTCTTACAGTTATTGTACTCTTCTATGTCTTCTTTATTGGGGATTGGAACATATCTTAGATGTTTCCAGTCTGTGGACAATTGTTTGGTTTTCTCTGTTTGTTGTCATCATCTTTAGATTCAGTTTCTGTAGCTTGGAATAGTTCTATCATATCTCATCTACATCTGGTGATTTATTTTTCCTTCGAAGTGCTTTATAAGTGGTTTTTACTTCATTTTATAAAATTGCAGGGTTCTTCTACAAAGGAATCTATTAGTTTTTTAAAATGGCTAGAGCAAAGCATGCCCCCTTCTCCTCACATCTGCTCCCTGTTGTTGTATCTTGGATTTTGTAATTCCTTTCCCCATTTCTGTCCTCAGTGCCTAAGAGTTGTTTTCTGTGCAAAATTGGTCACTGGCTTCCTATACAGAACAGCAAAGGTACCGTTGCATAGATACCAAAAGCTCCAATTCCTGAAGAATACATGGAAAAAGAGTGGGGCAGGCAGCTTGCCAAATGGGTTGGTGGGGACATTTCTCCTTCAGCTGGAATCCCTCTAATTTCCACAGGCAGTAAATACTTTTTCTTTAGTTCCCTACCCCCAATAATTATTGAAGTATGGATTAGACAAAACAGAAAGAGAAGTTATTTTTCCATGTGCAGTATAAAAGGTGTAAAGGTGTATAAAAGGTATAAAATCTCTTCATACCTTTTTGATATTTCTTGCAGGCGTTGGAATGATGCTGGGAGCATATTCTTGCCCATCTCTCTGTCCTGCAAGAGTGGAAACAGCTTCTGTGCAATCTAATCTGGTTGGTGCAAATAGTTGGAAAGGTCCTGCGTGCTTCTCTCCCTCAGACAGCTCTCTGAGCTTGAAGGTATCTGTCCTGTTTGTTTTCACCCAAGTTTGCTCATTTGGAAACTTGAGAATATTGTCTGTGACAGCTTAAATCTTGAGTCTTAAGTTTCAAAGTACAGTGGTGCCTCGCTTAAGGAGCGCACCGTATAACGACGAATCCGCATATCGATCCCGTTTTCGGGATCGCTAATGCGGAGGCATAGCGTCGGCCCCAATGGGCAAAACTCGCATAGCGAAGATCGGTAAGCGTTTCGCTTACCGATCTTCGCTTTGTGA